GTGAAGTTTTAGTAAGCCATGATGAGATTGTGACTAGTCGTGTTGATCAAGAATGAGCTGACGTGTGCAAGTCTGAGTCACCATTAAAGTTGTGTTTTCAACAATCTTCGTTTGTGTGCAAAGCGCGCTTGTCCCCTGTACAGACATAAAATTGAAAAAAATAATAGTAATAAACCTTCAAGCTCTCAATTTTCTCATTGCAGCAAGCGTGGGCTCATTATCCTGCATGTGTATTTTTATCATTATTATTTTTTTTGTAGGAGAATGTTATTTTAGGCAGTGACTACCCGTTTCCTCTCGGAGAACATCATCCAGGAAAACTCATCGAGGATGTGGACAAAGACGACCTGGAACTTAGAGTAAGAAAACAATCACATTCAGTTTCACGGTTTTTTTTTTTTTTTTTTTTTTGGCCATTGGAGATATGTCCAGGATCGATCTTGTTAGCAAAAATTTGCTAGCAATTTTTCTTCGCAATTGTCGCAAAAGAAATAAGTGAGAAAAAATTATGTCAGAAAATCACTTACAAATATCGCAAAAGTCGCAAGAATAACAAATCTAACAAGAATCAAGACTTGGAAACAAAAGAAGCCAAGAAGAACCCCGAAATGTCGCAAAAATCGCAAAAGTAACAAGGATATTTTTTGCTCGCTGAAAACGCTCGGCTTCTTTTCTTTTAAGTCTGGAATTTTGTTACATTTGTTATTTTTGCGATATTTGTCATGCGTGTTTTTAGCTAGCATGAAAAATCCTTGTTACTTTTGCGATTTTTGCGATATTCGCGGACATTTCGGGGCCCTTCCTGGCTTCTTCTCTTTCTAAGTCTTGATGATTGTTAGATTTGTTATTTTTGCTATTTCTGCTACATTTGTTACTCAATCTTTTCACTTAACAAGGAAAATTCCCGTTACTTTTGCGATTTTCGAGAAATTTGCAGACTTCACGAACCCCTTCTTGGACTTTTCTCTTTGTAAAAGTAGAATTTTGAAAAATTTGTTATTCCTGCTATTTTTGCCATATTTGTTACTCAATCTTTTCACATAGCAAGAAAAATTCTTCTTACTTTTGCGACATTTGCTATTTCTTCTATACTTTTCTGATAGCAGTTTTCTTTACATCTTTTTTGCTAAAATTGCGAAAACAATTTGCGAGCAAAATTTTGCTAACAAGGTCGATCCTGGACATAAGTGTGGTGACGTGACGTCACACTTCTCCTCTCTATAAACATTGGTATCGCTTGATTACAATGGAACCTTGATTACGTTCGCTAAAACGAGGTTTGGTTATATCGAGGTTCTTTTCCATACATTATACTGTAACTGTGGCAGAAAATGGTTTCGTTATATCGAGGTTCCACTGTACGAAAGAGAAGGAAAAATAGGCCTCACCCCTCTCCCCAGGTTTTGACTTTTGTCCCAATTCCCCACCCCCTCCCCCCCCCGCCAATTCTCTTTTGAAGAGGTTTAGTCCTACCCTACTTTAGTAGATTGTTCTACATGTACTTGGCAATTCAACAGTTGATCAACAAATATTAGTGAAGATCGAACAAAATGGTTCTCAATTAATTCCCTGTTTTTTTGGAAAATAGGTGGAGTAATTGCTAGGGGGGTGTATTTGCCCATCATCAAATCTCCCGTTCATCATTCGATTCACAGTCCCCTAATTTTCCGTAAGATCGTCTGGCGTTTACGGGCGGCAATCTTGGATAGGTAAAGCCCCACGCCCGCTCCCTCGGTTCATGTTTACTAGATAACCGTCCGTTCCGGTAAGCTATCGCTCTATCCTGTCGATCTTACGAAGAAATAGGGGACTGTAAATAGTCTAACTTCAGATAAAAACCTTTTAATTCAAAATCCATCTGTTGTTGTAGGATAAATTGTTAGGCGGAAATGCTCTAAGATTTCTTGGATTGAAAAGGTCGCAGTTTGACGAAGACCCTGCGGATAAAGCGGATACGGTGGAAAGCTAATAGTGCAGAGGACTGAATAATTAAATATTTTTCTGTTAGTTATAGAATGAAGTAACTTTTAAAAGTAAACAGACTATTATGTCTATAAATGCATTTAGACGGAGGTTATTTATAATGTCCTCTGTTTTTCGGCATCTTGGTGTCTTCCTTTTTTAAAAGAGCCTTACCGAAGGAAACAAGTCTAAACTGTGTTAATTATTTAAACAAGTTCTTATTTATTCGTAACTGTTCTTGTACTTTATTTTAATGACTATGATATACATGTGAATACGTTATTTAAAGCGGTTAAGGATGGCTTTACAGTAAAAGTACAGTTAAAAAATACTGATTTATATTCAAGTGCAGAACGCAGTTGATGTTAAGCGCATTGTTACTCGATTAGCCTTCTTTCAGTGAAGGTCAGTCTCGATCCTCAAACGTAAGTCATAAAGCAATTAACTACAGTGGAACCCTGTTAATGTTACCACCGTTGGGCCATAAAATCCTAGTCGTAAAAATGAGGTGGTCGCATTAACGGGTGATTTTCGAAAAAAATAAAAATTGAAATAAGCCTGATTTCTACGTTTGAATCGAGAGAATATGGTCGTAATAACGAGGTGGTCGTATGGCAGGGCTCCACTATCTTGCTATTAAAATTAATAAACAGGCGAGCCTGTACCCTAAAATAATTCATGCCAGACCTTACGGAGTGGGTTTGAGTTTTGTAAAAAGAGAAACTAAAACTCGTCTTTGGGCGTTCGCATTGCACGACTTAGTTGAGTAGAAAATAGTAATAAAATGTATAAAAATGTTTCTATCCATTTTCCTTGTTTGTTTTGCTATTTAAAAGCTGGTTTTCACGCAGAGATTGTATGCCCTATTTATTTCCAAAGAAAATATATGTTGATGCACAGATTATTTTAATCCAACCGGTTTTCAGCCAGTTTTAATCTTGTCGTTTTTCTTTCGAAAAATCATAGCGTAAAGCGGTTTAAAGCCCTTCAGTTACAAGAGCAAGTTTTCTTCAATAAGGAAAACTTCCTCCACCGTTGCTGCGCAAGCCCGATTATGTAACGTGCTACTTGACTCACAATTTTGTTTCGCACGGGAAGGAAGCTGCCTCTAACATAGATGTCTCGCAATTGTTTTGCAGCAAGTATAGGTTGCAAAAAGGAAGGTAACGTTCCACATTATGGAACGACGCCTGCTACAGCAAAAATAAGAACAAAGACGTTGCGCTCTCTTTTTGACTGACCCTATAGATCATAATGGCCGGGGATGAGCGAGGGGCGGGGGTGGGGTGGCTTCTCAACTAAGTTTTATATGGGTAGGCTCCGCCCCGAGGTCCAACCCCTTAACCCTTTTACGTACCATTTTTGACAGACAAGATACGCTTTCCTATACTTTCCATTGACAAATGGCCTCTTTCAACATACCTCGTTTAGAACTTTACATCCCTTTTTTTGCTACTATAAATGCTAAATATAAAACAGGAAAATCACGAAACCAGAGCGTTTTCTCGAGTTTTTAACATCTGTAAGCCCTGCTACGTCTGAGTGTGCGCTTTTTTATTAAAGTAGTGTTCTTTTAGCTGTAGTGGCCAAGAATTTAGGAACTGAGTGAAAAGACGGGGACGATCGATTCAGCGCGAGATGAAAGGAATGAAGTCTCTGCAAAGACGAGTTACCGGAAACCCTGAAAATAATATTGTTTACTATCAGAAGCATATACATGTAGAAATTTAGAGATAAATCCTTCTATTGAAATATCACTCAGCTCTGTAACCGCTCTATGCATGTCACGTTGTACACGAATGCACTTGTTACATAAATTTAGCGCGTCAGTGAAGAACAGTTTACTCTTTTTCCTCTGGATCGGAAAATCTAAATCAATGCCCTGAAACATCGTAAACTGCCGCTTACTCACCACTGTTAAAAACGCGTCCCCCCAAAAAGTCCCACAATGCACTTGATCGACAAACATCTCGATCCAGTCTCCCACGCAACCCCAAGGTGGCGAATGAGCGCCTTGACTTATAAGGGACTGTGCAATAATCATCAGCAGGGGAGAGCTGAAAAGCTAGAGGGGGGGCATTACATAAAATTGCTGCCAAGATAGGGGGGCTCAAAGAAAAATCACTCATTTGACGGAGGGGGGGCCTTAAGTTGTATTTGAAATGTAAATAAAATTAAATGCAATAAAAGATTCTCAATACAGGCATCATGATAGACTGTAACAAATATCAACACGAACAGCTGTTAAACGATTATTGAAAATATTCCATCAAAATGAAAAGCAAATTCACAACTGATCAATTTTAACCCGTCTTCTAATTAATTGAGCTGATCCTATGTAAAGCAAAAATCGTGAACTTGTTTTTCAGCTTCCCCAATAAAACAATGGGAATCAAACAGATCTCGTAGACAAGCTTTGACGGTTTTTGATGTGAATAAAAGTAATGTTTCTTCATCGACTGAATCGATTTGCTGAATTCCATATATGTTTGGCTCATAACAAAGTTCAACAGGCTCTCCGGCCCTCCCAAAGATCTGAATATAATGCAAGCTCTTTTTCGTCTGTTATTTGAAGCGTTCAATTTCCTGTTCTTTGATTTTTTTTCTCTGCTCCTTTCTCTTTCTGGCTTCAGAAGTTTTAGATTTTGAGCCAATGTGGTAAGCACCCCGGTACTTAGCAAATGCTTTGTCTAAGATCACGTTTACATGATAGGTGGGGTGACCCGCCAAGGCGGGTAGCCCGGTCTATCAGACGGGTTACCCTCTCAGGCGGGGTCAAATTTTGCCATGTAAACGTTTCAAGGTGGGGTAACCCGCCTGGCCGGGGTCGGATTCGTGATACATCAAACTCTCGCAAAATTCACTTTGGAGGTGACTTTGCATCATTATTAAAGTTAACAATAGAAAGCCACAGCACTGAAGGCTGCAGCAAGAGCAGCACGTGAGTGTAGAAGTGCATTAATTTCCAAAACACGTGGTTTGCCAGCATTTTTCTTGTTTACGGGCTTAGCGACCATTCAATAATCTTGAGAAAGTGCACCCCGGGATGGCAGGTTTGTAAGATTGCATGTAAAGGAGGATTATTTTTTTACCCCATTCACGTAGCTGGGGTCCCCCATCTCCATGTAAACAGGCCCTAAATCTTCAATCAAGCGATCAACATCCTTCTCGATACTAGATGTTACATAATAACGTTTGTCATTATTGAAGCTGTGATGGCAGCTCAGTCCAGTTTTGAGTTTACCAGTTTGGTGGGAGGGGCGGTGCGACGTTATTTTTAATATAACAGAGGGGGGGCTAGAACTAATTTTTTTGTTTTGGAGGGGGGGGTACTGTTTAAGTTTTTGCTAGATAACTCTAGTTCGTCAGCCCC